TAGAAATACTACAACTGTAATATGTTTATTAAAATTATTAAATAATTTCTTACATATGCTCTCTCCACTCCCTCCGTTTAAAAAATAGTTGTATCATATCTACATTGCTGTAGCATATATATATGTATACATTATATATGTACAGCTACAGATAGCTATACACACTATGCTCTCTCTTTTTTAACTTCATGTAGTTTTATAGTTCCACAAACTACTATATACTTACTGCTCACCTCCAGTCTTAGGTAAATGATTAGAAGTAAAATTTAAAAATGTATTTTTAGAATGAAGACTAAAGTTATTAAGGAATACAAAACTGAGTGATTTTAAAAACCAAAAAGAAACAAGGAAAGAAATCAAGGGAATTCAAGTGAAGGTGACAGAACTTGAAGATGGACAAAGAATATCAGATATGCAGATACCAATATGTTGGTCTGAAGTTCACATTCTACTTTACATTTTTCAGGAAGAATCACATAAATTGAGTTCTTTCTTGTTGATAATACGTTGCACCCTTTATATTTTGAAGTCAATTTTGCTGGCTATAAAACCTGGCTCACATTTTCTTTCCTTGAGTATATTGTTACTCCATTTTCTTCTGACATTTATAGTAGAATGATTTATAATCCTTTGGGTATATACCCAGTAACAGAATTGCTGGGTCTAGAATGAATGAATTTTTCTATGGTGAGTATCCTATAAGCACCAAGTCAAGAAATCAAAGTATTGCTGACATCAAGCATTGCTGTCAAAAGTGTGACAATGACTTCATTTTCTTTCTCTTCTAAATCACTTATTCATTTTGTCTACATGTCCAAAGGTTTTTTTTTTTTTTTTTCTAAAATCTAGTCATTTTATTGCATATACTTTGGGGACACTGATCATTCTGTGTTGATATTATCATGTATGTGGGGTTTTGCGAAACTATGTAGCTTTAGATATTTAATTCAGTAAGTGTTTTTTAAATATTGTTTGATATTTGTTTTGATTTCTTGTTTTATTTTCTTTTCTAAGAAGCCCATTGTCTGCATATCGGATATTCTTTGCCCATCTTCAATATCTGTCACCTTCACTTGAATTCTCTTGATTTCTTTCCTTGGTTCTTTTTGGTTTTAAAAATCACTTGGTTTTGTATTCCTTAACCCATTTATGCTGGAGGTTGCAAATTTTTGTGTGTGAAAAATTAGACCTCGGCGATGACCTTGAGAAGTAGGATATAAATAACTCCTGCAAACTTAGCATTTCAATAAGAACACTAGCCATAAATGGGTTAATAACTTTAGTCTTCATTTTTAAGGTACATTTTAAAATTTTGCTTCTAATTCTTGTTGGAGTTTTGTGTAGCCATTCTGAGTTTTTGTAATTTTAATTTATATTGTTTTTTATATTAGATGTCATTTTTCAAATGTCTTTTTGTTCATTTTGAAAGTAGGTTAGTTTTCTGGGCTTGGCTTTTCAGCATGCTTTTATTGTCTTATGGATATTTTTCATCTCTCTCTCATTTTTTTCTTATTATAACTCTGAATGGACTTGACCTAGAACTGAACTTCCTTCTTATTTTTATATGAGTTTATTTTATCCTGAAGAAGGCAATGTTCAGAATAACTTTTCTAACTCCTCAGAGTTTCCTCTTCTGGGCTTTTGCTGTTGCTGTTCTTGTTGTTTTCAAATGTGCAAAAATATGATAGTTCACTTTCTAAATTTTCCTGGTATTGTTTCCTACCTTACTTTAGCCGAGAATGATTCCATTCCCAGATATTTGTCCCTGGCATGAATTTCTGTCCCAGAAAAGAGCCCTGGCCAGTCAGTTTCAAACTCACGTAGACTGCTTCAACCCCTTTTAGAACTCGCTAAGGAATTCTTCCATTCACTTACTCCCAGTTTTATCCATTATTCAAAAATTAGTAAGACTGTTTTGCTGTGAACATCTTCCAGGTATCTGGGGTCCTCATTCACGACTCCAAACGCCCTGTTACTTTTCTCCACTTCTTTCCACATAGAGGTTCCCGAGCTGTTGGAGGTTTGCCCCTACCTACTTGTATCTTGGGTTTTGTGAGAGATACCAGTCATTTAATGCTTTTGTCAATTTTGACCATGAGTTTCTGAATTATTATTAGGTTTCTTTTAGCTATTTTTATGTGGGAATTCAGGGAGGTTCAATGACTATCACATAATGCTGCTGTCATCTGATAGTACAAGCACCTTCTTTCTTGTATTCCAAAATACCTCTTTACCATTTGCCAAGGGAGGATGAGATTACAGAATTCATAGTTTCACAATGAATTTGCTTGGGTGCAAGAGCAGAGGGAGGAAAAGTATCCCCATGTTCTAAAGCATCTCTGCCCAAGGGAACAATCTATGATGGTGGAAATGCGCATCTCATTGTCCAGAGCATGCGGTTATTGTGTACTTGAATGTGGCTAATGCAAAAGGAAAATAAATTTTAAATGTAATTACATTTAATGTAAATCTAAATTTAAATAGACACCATGAGAAGTGGCTACCATATTAGACAGTGCAGTTCTAAGGAACTCTGAGTGCTTTTACATATTAATCTTTTTCCATTGGGCTGCCCTGTGCTTACAGCAGAGATACAAATCAAGTATAATGTTCTACTCTCAAGGAGCTTACCATCTTTAGTATGAATTTTTTGAGAGATTAAGTCCCTGCATTTCACAGACTGAGAAATAGCTTCTGTTCCTACAACGTGGGGCTACAAGCCAACTTGAGCGAAATATTCTTCAGCTTTTAGTGATATTCAGACATAACTGTATAGAACTGCCTATGGTCAAGATTTTTGGAGGCACTGCCTAGGACATGATTAAATAAATGCAAGCTATCATTTCTCCAAAACTTGAAAATGTCTTTGTTTTCAGTATTTCCAAATAGTTTTCTCTTCCATAAACTATGTAAGGGCAAGTATTCGTTTTGCTCACTGTATATAGTAGATGTTCAAAAAAATTTTATTGACTTAATGAATTAGTACATGGGTCAGCAAACTGACTCATGGGCCAAATCTGACTTGCTGCCTGTTTTTGTGTGGCTCCTGAGCAAAACATGGTTGTTATATTTTTATATGGTTGATGAAAAAAAGAAAAATAATACTAATGACATGTACAAGTTATCTGAAATTCAAATGTCAATGTCCATAAGTAAAGTGTTTTTGGAACACAGCCATCCTCACTTAGGATTATATACCTGCTTTCACACTACATAGGTAGAGATGAGACTTACAACAGAGACCGTATAATCTGTAAAACCTAAAATATTTACTATCTGGCCCTTTACAGAAAAAGTCTGCAGACTCCTGAATTAGTCAATAAATGCTCATTATTTTCCCAGGAGAAACTTGATTGTGTTTCACATTTTAGAAGAAATAGAATATTTTAAGAAGCTTCCTTCTAGCTGTAGCCAGAGAAAATTACATTCCACACCCAAATATACACAGCTGGGGACTGGGTAGAAAGCAAGAGCCTTAATAGAGTTATTAAAGTTGCAGCATAAGAAATAAAATTCTCCACAGAAATTTTTTTAAGCTCATGCAACTTGAGAGAAACAATTTAAAACCCTGTTTACTATTTGATTTCACAAAAATGCCTGGCATGAAAGCAATTACCCATTCTAAATGCTTCAGCACAGAGAAAATATTCACTTACTTCTCTCAGATTTGGGGGAGAGGAAGGCGGACAACAGTTAGTAATATCATAAGTCTTAAAGGAATCTGAACAAGCATCACTTTGTAACATTTTAGGACTTAATGAAAGCTGAACATCAGCCCGGAAGAAATGAATTAGGGAGGAGTTTTAACTTTTGCAAATCTTGGTTACCAACTGGAGTCTTTCTTGCAGGGGGGAAATAAACATTATTATTCTAAAGAGCAGGCAAGATCTTAATTTTAGGTTTGACCCTTACATAGCTTTTCCCCAGGAGAAAAATTTAATGTGTCCTGTTTGAATATTGATAGCAAACTCATGACTATTTCTCATTATATAAAATGAGGGGAGACACATGAACACATCTCAAATAATTGTGGTCTCTCTTTGGAGAGAGAACAAATCATATTATAGGCAATACCAAGCTGCGTCCCTAAAATGATACTAACATTTTTAAAGTGATATCAATAAAGATAACGGCAAAAAATTAAATAGAGCCATTTACAACACCAATCAAGATGGAAATGGAATTTTAACATTTGATATTATTTTGAAAAATATATATAACATAGTGAGGACACTATAATATTTTGAATTGGCTAAACACCCAGAGACTGTGCTAGAAATTGCTGAAGATGGTATTCACTTAGAATTAACATCTCCTGCAGATTATTGTCAGAGTGTTAGAAAGGAGCTTTGGGTATTTCTTTTCTTTGTGTTTACTTTGAACGTTGGGAAAACATTATCATATGATTTGCAAAATCTTTCTAGGAGAATTATGGTCCTTAGAAAATCAGTGCTTAAGGCAGAGAAGCAGTAACTAGAGAAGCCAGTTGAAGCTACATGTAATAAATTTGCAGTGAATGATTATCAGCCAGATGGAGAGAGACATTTGGCTTATTAGGATGTAACAGATCCGTAAAGGAATCATCAGAAAACTACGAGGGGTACCCCAGCATGATGCTGCAAAACTGTGCTTTGGAGCAAGATGGATTTGGATAGAATTGTTCTGCCTCTAACCAGTTGTGTCAATGTTGGGCAAGTAACTTCACCTCATCCATTATATTGGGATAATGATAGCATCTGTCTCTTAGGGTTGCATGAGAATTGAAAAAAAAAAATAATGCTCAGACACTTAGCACCAGGTGTGTCATTCAATAAACATTTATGGTAACCAGGATAATGCCAGTGGTACAAACTGCTGTCACAAAATAGTGCTGAATGCAAGTCAGGTTAGCTAGGTCTTATTTAAAAAGTAGAGACTACCTCAAATCCCTAAAACGCTGCAAACAAAGAACTAGAGAAGAATTTGGGGCCAGGCGTGGTGGCTCTTTTTTTTTTTTTCACTTGTATCACAAAGGCTTTATTTAAAGGTCCATCTCAATTTATGTGTGGCAGCATAAAATAAAGGACCAGACCGTGACACACCATTTCCATCTCAAGTGGTCGAATCCAACATCCAAAACCCAGCGAGCAGCCAAACTCAGCGCAACCTCCGGGCCTCCAAGCATTTTGGAAGCCAAGGCGGGCGGATCACCTGAGGTCGGGAGTTCAAGACCAGCCTGACCAACATGGTGAAACCCCGTTTAAAAAAAAAAAAAGAGGGCCAGGCGCGGTGGCTCAAGCCTGTAATCCCAGCACTTTGGGAGGCCGAGGCGGGTGGATCACGAGGTCAAGAGATCGAGACCATCCTGGTCAACACGGTGAAACCCCGTCTCTACTAAAAATACAAAAAAAATTAGCTGGGCATGGTAGCGTGTGCCTGTAATCCCAGCTACTCAGGAGGCTGAGACAGGAGAATTGCCTGAACCCAGGAGGCGGAGGTTGCAGTGAGCCGAGATCGCGCCATTGCACTCCAGCCTGGGTAACAAGAGCGAAACTCCGTCCCAAAAAAAAAAAAAAAAAAAAGAATTTGGGAAATAAATTGCCATATGTATAACAAAGCTGGTTTTCACACAAGGACAAAAGAGGGAGCAGAGAACCTGTTTTATTCACCTCCTGAGAATCTGGGATCCATTGCTCTTTTTCTACACATAGCAGACAGGTTTAGAGGGTCAACTATTTATTCTTCTCCTTTGTTCAAGGACATGCAAAGGCGATCCCTCTGGTTATATTTGTGCCACATCTCCCTGCTCCTCCTGGCCATTCCATGAGACTAGTGGCAGACCCCAAGCCCACACTAGGCCAACCTGATCCTCTTTTCAGGAAAAACTTGTCTCATGACCGGATTCCATATTGTCTCAAGTCATTTCACAACACTTATCAGTAAGTTCAAAATAAAATTAATTTAGATTTGTAACTTCAAAAACAGATACTTGCAGTAGAATGTTCTTAGGGATGACAAAGAGATTGCAACATTAAATCAATGATAAAAAAAAAAACAAAGGTCCTAAATACAGAAAGCCAATAAAATCAGTGTTGTCATAGGCATTCAGGTGGTACAAGAGATCAGACAATAGGGCTGGGGGAGCAGAGAGAGTACAATGCACCAAGCTGTCAAGACTAAACTGCCTGGTACAAAGAAAAGGTGAGGGCTGATAATTCTGTAGAGAAGTGTTTTAATTTCCCTAATTGCTGAGACCCTTTGCTTATCTTCATGAGGTAGCTGGGCATGGCTCTTGGCAACATTCAATGTCTTCACTTTTCCTGCATGCATCACCAAGGTACATTCACCTAATATTTTCATTTTCTTTTAATCTGTTTGGCCACAACTTGGGAATTATTTTAAACATTTGAAGAATTGAGAAATGAAATTTTCATTTTGACCATGGAATAACCAACTATGGAGATTAAATAGAAAATATAAAAACAGTAAACTAAAAAGTTCACTTTCTGCTATATTTTGTTTTTACTTTTGTTTATTTTCTTTCTTAGAGAGCTGTAGAACCTCATACCTGAGCAAAGGAAGACCCTGGGTGCCAAGCAATCTGATTCCTTATCTCAGACTCAAAGAACAAACCCATCCCATCCTGCCCCCTCTCAGAAGCAGTCAAGGCCCTGCACCACGGAGGAGCTGAGCCACTGTGCAAGACAGCAGTGTGGGCCTGGGGGCATCTGGCAGGATGAGCCATAGCTGCATCCTTTTTCTATTTCCCTGAGTTATGACTCAAGTGTTATATTCCTCACTCCCTTCAGCTCTGTTTTGGGGCCAGTGATCTTGTTATGTAACCACTGCAAATGATACAAAAGCAAGATTTCGCCTTGATCTTTGTGCAAGCTAAAGAAAAAGGCTCTGAACATTTCCCTTTCAGAGGAACTCATTCCTTGGGAAAGGCTGGCACAAGTGTAATGTGAGGGGTAGGATTGGGGCTGGGAAAGATTAGTCATTTATTAAACACCCATAAATTCACTGAGCTGAAGATGGCCCAGTTCAGAGAAATATTCAGGCATATCCATATCCATATGGAGATTATTAGTCTACAAAAGAGGCAGAAAGTAGCCAAATATCAGATTATTACTCAGGGGACTGTCAGATTCACCCAAAAACTAGATCCACTAGAAAGATATGTGTCAGGCTTTGGGAACTGTATGATAATCAGTATTCTAGAGAAAAGGCACTCACATAGTTGAGATTTTGCTTCCCACTTACACAAACTCATAATACTTATAGTATTAAATATTAATCATGTTTATTAGTCATTAGAATGCAAATTGAATAATAATGAAATACCATGACATACTATTAGAATGGCTAAAATTAAATAGAATGATCATACCAATTAGTGACAAGGATGTTGAGAAACTGGAACTCTCATCCACTGCTTGTGTGGGTGCAAAACAGTAAAAAGCACTTTGAAAAACAATTTCTTAAAAAGTTAAACATACACGTATCATGTAATCCAGCCATTCTCCTCCTAGACACTTACCCAAGAAATATGGAATAATATATTTATATAAAGATTTGCACATGAATATTTTATTTAAAATAGCCAAAAACTAAAGACAACCCACATATCCATCAAGGTGAAGGAACAAAATAACTGTAGTATATCCATACAATGAAATACTACTCAGCAATTAAAAAGGAATACATTTTTGATATGTTCAACAACATTAGCAAAGCTCAAAATAACTATGCTAAGTGAAAGAAGCCAGAAAACAAGAGTGCATATTCTCTGATTTTACAGGTATTGATCGACTTACGACCTATGCAATTTACAACCCTTCGACTTTACGACCACAATCACTAGCCACGACTGCTCCGCATCTGGCAGCGCAAACGTTGCCCAGCTGGGCGTATGACAGTGCAGACCAGCTTCCGGCAGCACTACCATCTCCGCATGCACCATTTCAACTGTACATATAGTCTACTCAACTTACGACCAAATAGTGTTACGACCGGTCTGCCAGTCCCAATCGTGGTTGTAAGTCGAGCACTAGCTGTACTTCTATAAAATCCTTAAAAATGCAAACTAGTGACCAAAAGTGGATCAGTGGCTACCTGAGAATGGGGAAATGGAGAGGGGTGGGTGGAAAGGATTACAAAGGGATAAGAGGAAGCCTTTGGAGGTGATGGATGTGTTCACTATCTTAATTGTGGTGATGGTGTCACAAGTGTATCTTCATGTCAGATTTCATCATAATGAGCACCTTAAGTATGTGCAATTTACTGTATGTCAGTTATGTCGCAATGAGACTGTTCATTTAAAAATTATTGTGTAATTATATCTATATCTCTCAGAAATATAAGGTCTTTAGAGATTGGGGCCATCTTGTTCACTGAAAGATGTGCAGCATCTCCTCTAGTGCCTGGCACACAGTAGGCATGCAGTAATTATTAGCTGGATGAATTAATAGATGAACTAGTCCCTAGTCAGGTAAGGTTTTGATTTTTATTACTTCTTATACAGTCAAATCAAAGTTAATGGCCCTAATAATTTTTAAAGAATCCAGTTGATTATTCTCAGTTGGGCATTAAAAGATGGGAACCTTCCAGCTCATAACAATGTCTTATAGGTTTGAAATCGGAGATCCTGATTTTTAAATAATGATTATTTCTGTTTCTAACATGATTATCATAGAAAAATTGGGAATACAGACTAATAAAGGAGCATTTTTTGAACTAAGTCCTTGTTTATTTTTCTGAAAGTATCTTCTCTATAACAAACAGGGGAAATCCTGATAAAAGCAATTTACTTGTCCACAAATCTGGCTTTATGCTGCTGGTTTCATCATTGTCCCCAGGAATCCAGGACCCTTCTGACACCCTCATCACATGGCTCTTACCTCTATTGTTTAGACTAGAGAAAATCAAGGTACTGAAGAACTTGTTAAGAGGAGAAGACTCTTGCTTTCTTTTATATTTTCTATACTTTTATAGAACAAAAGCTATTCTTTCATGTGAATTTGCACACTTAAGAAGAGCATCTAATGATTGTGTCAATTAGAACTCATGCGCCGAGCATGGTGGCTCACGCCTGTGATCCCAGCACTTTGGGAGGCTGAGGTGGTCAGATCATGAGGTCAGGAGTTCAAGACCAGCCTGACCAATATGGCGAAACCCCGTCTATACTAAAAATACAAAGATTAGCAAGGTGTGGTCACACACATCTGAAGTCCTAGCTACTCGAGATGCTGAGGTAGGAGAATCACTTGAACCCAAGAGGTGGAGCTTGCAGTGAACCAAGATCACATCACTGCACTCCAGCCTGGGCAACAGAATGAAACAAAAGACAGAAAGAAAGAGAGCGAGAGAGTGAAAGAGAGAGAGAGAGAGGAGAGGGAAAAAGGAAAGGAAAGGAAAGGAAAGGAAAGGAAAGGAAAGGAAAGGAAAGGAAAGGAAAGGAAAGGAAAGGAAAGAAGGAAAGGAAAGGAAAGGAAAGGAAAGAAGGAAAGGAAAGGAAAGGAAAGGAAAGGAAAGGAAAGGAAAGGAAAGGAAAGGAAAGGAAAGGAAAGGAAAGGAAAGGAGACAGGAGAGGAGAGGGGAGGGGAGGGGAGGGGAGGGGAAGGGTACTTTGGGAGGCTGAGGTGGGTGGATCACTGGCAGTCAGGGGTTCAAGACCAGTCTGACCAACATGGAGAAACCCTGTCTCTACTAAAAATGTAAAAATTAGCCAAGAGCAGTGGCACACACTCGTAGTCCCAGCTACTGGGAGGCTGAGGCAGGAGAATTGCTTGAACCTGGGAGGCAGAGGTTGCAGTGAGCCGAGATCATGCCATTGCACTCCATCCTGGGGAACAAGAGTGACACTCCATCTCAAAAAAAAAAAGAAAAGAACTCATGCTAAGAGTCCAAGGAATTCTGGTCACAGAGCACAGCTCCCTAGTGTCTCACAGGAAATCAGAAGCAGGTAACCCCTTTCTAGAGCTTAGACGATGGTAGCCTTTGATAAGTCAATGGGTAATACCACCATGTATGGAATATTTATACTTTAGGTTTTCCTCTTGTCTCAATAAACAACTATTTATTGAACACCTATTTACAGGACCTTTGCTAGATGCTGCAGGGAGTACAGAGGTGAGCAGAATATTTATCTGTTCTCAAAGAGTTGACCATTGA